TTCTCTCTCCCTATATATATATATATATATATATATATATATGCATATATATACATATATATATACATATATATACGTATGTATATGTGTACGTCTCCCCTCTCTCTCTTACGTATATATTGTATATGTATATGTAATGTCTATATCCATATACATATATACATATATTTATACATGTGTATACATATATATATACATGTATATATATACATACATATGTACATATGTACTTAGATGACCCGTCCTCACTCGTTGTGCGGGCCCCTGCATAATTTCCGTTTTTTCGGATTATTTCTGGTCTAGCCATTGTGGCTCCCTGGAGTCCCGAGGCCAGCCTGGCTAAAGTCTGCTCCAGGTCGTCACCACCACAGGCAGTCGCCAGCATTTGTGGATCAGAGGGAGGTTTGCCAGTATGCGACTAGTTTCATACCAAGACGTTGGTTAATCCTGGTACTGGTTTACTCTTAGCTGGGCTTCCTTATAGAAACATCGAACTTTTTCGCAGCTTGGGAGAACCTGCAGGGGCACGAATCTCCTCTCTGTACATCGCATCGCGACACCCAGGAACATCCCTCAGCCAAGATGAGGGGGTAGACCGTTAGAAGGATATATATATATATATATATATATATGTACATATATATATACATATATATGTATATATATGCGTATATACAGATACATGTACATATATGTAAGATGTATATATATGCGTATGTACACGTATATATGTATATGTATATATAGTTGAAAAAGGATTTAGTGCGTTCTATTTGTGCACTAATGAGTCTCTCATGGGTTTTTAGCAGTTTTTATCCACGATCGTTTTGCCAGCCCATCATTGGATTTCTCAGGCACCGTCTCGCATGTAACCTACTTGTTAGTGGCTCCGATGCTGATCAATTAGCATTCGAGAAGTGTCTGCAGTTAGCAACGAATTTGTCGTGCGTTAATGAATATCAGGTTGAATTTTGGAATTCTCAGTGCCTTACAATGAAGCTATTAGAATGTCGAGTATATATTTAGAGTCAAACATATAATGTGTGGCATGTTGACGGTGCACAAACAGCCCATGATGCCATAGATAAATGGCGTGAAGACGAATCTTTCAATAAATCGATTGCTGTTACGAAGCTGTTATCAGATGCGGATGCTTTAGCTTTGCATGACCATTTTGTAAGCGTCGAGTTGGCTAGGTAAGTCACTGGTTACACCAAGGCATAGTGTCCGTCTCACTTAATCTGTAACATTTCTTAAAGAACTGTCGTTTTAACAGGATTGATGCTGAGATCGCTGCAATGGAGATGGAGTTGGCAGAACTGCAAACGGATGCTGAGGAAGGGCCGACATGGCCTGCAGCTGTTCATGCGTATAGCAAGCCACCTAATCGTTACCAAGTGGGGTAGAGCCCTTGTTCTACATAACACAGTTAATCTAATGTTTTATAAAGAATTAACGTTCCAGGTTTGTATCTTTCAGGTGCCTACGTGGGAGTTTTTCACGATGAAGGATATTTTTCGTAGCGAACCCAATCAAAATGTGCGCCCGCTTGAAGGGAAAGATCGGGATGATGTTATGGAAGTAAGTTGAAGTTTTAGCATTGAACCTTCTTCATTTACACAACAGTGATTCTAAAAAAGGGCAATTACTTCTGTTTGGATTGTGCATATATGTGTTATGTATATGTATATATATACATGTTTACATATATTATATATATGTTTAGATACTTTGATGTCCCATCCTCCCTGATGGTGCGGTCTTTAGCATAATCTCCATTTCCTCGGAATTTTGCTGGTTTAGCTATTGTGGTTCCCCAAAACATCTAGGTCGGCCAGGCCGAAGCCTACCCCAGGTCGTCACCACTACAGGCAGTCGCAGCTCTTGTGGGTCAGATGGAGTTTTGCACCACGCCACCAGATTGATACCAGGACGATGACGGATCCCGGTATTGGTTCACTCTTAGCTAAACTTGCTGGTGGAAACACTGGACTCCTCAGCTTGGGAGACCCTGCTGGGGATGAATCCACCTGCTGTACATCGCAGCTCGACGCCCTGGAACACTTAGCCACGATGAGGCGGTAAACCGCTGGGATATGTATGTATATATATATATATATATATGTATATATATGTATATATATGTATATATATAGTGTATATACTATATACACTATAGTAGCATACTATAGTATATACTATATACTATGTATATATATATATATATATATATATATACTGGGATAAAAATTGTTAACAGTTCGTTGTAAAAAGCGGCCAGCATTTCGCTGGCCTGTTTTTCTGATATAGGCATTGATCAGTAAGTGACTGTTTTCTTCCTTGACAAACATGGGTTGTTAATTCGACGTTCATGCTACAGTGGCTGCCAATGCCGAAGGTCCGTTTCATATAACCTTCTTCAGATAATGAGGAGACCAAACTGATATTTAATCAACCTAACCAGATACTTTCACAGCTCCAACAGAAAAATAGACACAAAACCTGAATTTTTATCAGCTTAAAGAAGATGCTTCTTATGTGTTTGAGATTTTGCTTTCCAGTCTATTCTGTTGTCACGATGAAAGTATTTGACTGAGTAGAATGCTTATTAATTTGACCTTTCCAGGCTTTGAAGAAGGGGAAATCTTCCGAGACTTTTCTCGGTATGTAATGAGTGTTGATTTAACCCTTTGTCTTCTCGAGAAGAAAATAGTAGCGTAATAGGCTAACACTTTTAATGAGGTATTCCTTATTCAGGAACCCTACTAATGTAATAATTTCTTATCTATCTCAGGTGGTTGCAGCTGCAAAGCAGTATGTGGAATCTGAAGAACCAGACTTGGAGTTCTTGCAGGTCAGAAATGGATATAGGTAAGGTCGCAATACGGTGACATGACTTAGTTGAATATTTCAACGGCCCATCTTCACAAATCATGAAGAGTCGTGTAAGCTTAAGCTGCAGTTTCCATTTGACTCCGAAAATTTTTGATATTTAAGATTTTTCTTCATGGAGTCTAGAACGACATCTTAGAGCTTTACCGAATCGTCACCACTTACCAGCTCTTGACTGTGTTTTTGCCACGATGAACATGATTCGTGGCATTGGTTTATTTTTAGCTAGGCTTCTAACTGAGGATAAAAATGACGGTAGTCGCGCTTCTGCCAGGAATTGAACCACATTCAGCAATGGAAAGGATAAGCAATTGGGAATATGATGGCGCAGTATTTGAATGGTCCATATTTTAACATTCGTAGTAAAACAACGTTTTTAGGGGAATTAAGAGCTTATTAAGGAATTTTTTAAACTTTCTAACTGTTTGAGGTTGTTTGATCCGCAACGTGGCATGGACTACATGATTGACCTTGTCTATAAAGATGCTGCAACACAGGTGACTGTTGAACGCCGAGTTCATCTATGTCGTATGATTGCTGGTACACAGCTTTTGAATCAGGTAGCGAATATCACAGATTTAACCAGTTATTACCAAACGAGTTCTTGCTCAGCTCTTTGAAGACATTTGTTTATGTATGGCTTGTTATTCAAGCAAAAAAAAAATGGTATGAAGTTATTCTAATTCAGAAACTGGAAGGGTACATGGAACTTTAAACACGTAGCGAAGTCTGTTTCTAATATTTTTCTCGGTAGATTGTGAAAGGATACTTTCAGGTTCCCTATGTTAAAGAAGACACAGATATGACAATTGTTGTTCCTGTGAGTGACGAATCAGAAGTACTACCTGCTCGACGTCTCCTTGCAAGACATGCTCGGTTGTGTACTGCACCAGCAGAGGAGACAAGGAAAGTTGGTGTTGATTACACGTTTTTTTTCTTAGAGCAACATTTCATTGAATTATTTAAGACAAGAGTGGTAGTCGCGCTTCTACCAGGAATTGAACCACGTTCAGCAATGAACATCGGAAATGATTTAGAAGAGCTGAAAAGAAGGTAACCTGTCGTAGTTTAGAGTAGTGATGATGATTATTGTGCAATGAATTTTCATCTGTTCTCAAAGCAGTTCCAATTTCAGATGCAAACGTTCTGGGTTAGAGTCAGACTTGTTGCAATTACAAGATTCGTCAGGTGAAAAAAGTGTTCGTGAGAGTACATCTGGAGACGTAGCTGGCGGAAGTGCCGCACTCGACGAAGCCATTGATCGCTACGGATCCGGATCCATTTTTTTGCTGTTATCACCGTATGCTGACGTTCAAAAGGAATTTCTTGATCGAGCTCGTATCAATACTATCAAACATTACCAGGTTTGGTTCATTTCTTTTTATTTTGACCGTAAGCCAGCTTACCTATGTTGGCTGGTTATTGTCTACCTGCAGCAGATCTCTTAAGCTATACAATTTTGATTATATTAAAAGTCCACTTTTTACCTACCGCCTATTACAGTTTTTCACGGCGGGGTATAATGTGTGATACAACCATAATGGCGCTGAGATATTTGTAAAACTTCGGGCCGTAGGTGTCTGCGGTGTGGAACTAACGTGCTATTGCCTTTCCGGGGCTAACGCGTGCACCACCACACGATATGTGCCCTTCTTCTTGTCTTTCTCAGACACCTGCGGTTTGGAGTTTGGCACATATTTCAGTGCTATTGTGGTTATATTAAAATTGTTCCTATTTATTGCAATTGAGGTGTTTTTTCCTATTCCGTTTGTGGAGTATCATCCAACGATTTCGGGAATGGACATTGAAGAGCATGAGGTATTACAATTATTGTGAGAATAGGGTAATTGTTATTGCAAGAGTGTGTTTGTTTCATGTTTCAATTTTGCAATGTTTTAGGCCCCTATTGACCAAAAAGAAGCGCGTGATGCAGCCCTTGCAAGGCTACGCGATTCTTCTCCACCTAGGCGAAAACGGCCATTAATTGTTCAAAAGGTTTGTTGCACTTCTACATTTTGTGTGGAGGTAGTCGAGCTGTTCATCTGTCTTGAAGAGCTTGTCTGTATATTGCACTGTTGAGGTTCGCTGTTTCATTCCTTTTTTCTATTTATCGTTAGTTTTCTTCATCACATGATTGTCTGAACTAGACTGCGTTTTGTTTTTTTAGAAAAGTAAGGAAAAAAATATTTATTAAAGGCCCGAATTGCATATTACACACCATGTTTTGTAAGTGGGTAGCGTGTTGCACCGCTTAAAGAGGAGTGTAGAAAAAAAACTTGGAGAATTATTAAATCATAGATGAGCGGTGCATATGAAGTCTCTCTTCACCCAGATAGTTTTACTTAAGATAATTGACATACATTAAAACACCTATTGCTCAGTTCGTTATAATTTGTTCAGGACCACGGTCGTTTCGACTCTCTTGACTTTTCATGCATGGCCGTCTATGGGTCTGATTACGTTGTTATGCGACCTAAACTCTTCGGAAAGCGATTGGATCTCATAACTGCCTTTTTGAATCAAGGCGAGATTCACATTCTTCGTGCTGTGGAGCCAACACTTAGGCTAAGGTTGTCTATCTATTATTTTATTTACAATAGCAAGTTATAGTAGAAGCAAAAGAACATTTCGCGTCTAGTAGTATACGTTTGCATTCTGCAACATCAGCAGAACCACATGTTTTATTAGATCGAACAACACTTGTTATTGCTCGGAATTTTGAGAGCACAATATAGAAAAATTTGTTGAAGATGACTATAAAATGCCCTAACACATTTACGAATACGTGAGTTGTTGGATGGGTAAATTGACCGTTGATTGTCACTCGTTTCTCACTTCCAGTTCGTTTCCTCGCATCCACTGTCCACGAAGGTTTTCGAACTTTTCTGTGTGGCTTCGGTTGCTGCTTGAGGATTTTCATTTCATCTTGGATGTCGTAGAATGCTGGTCGAGCAATTCTGTCAAGATTTCTGAGATAGCCGGGCTGGAGCGTTCGCAGTTAGATTGCAGAGAGCGAGGTACCAATGTCGTGAACCCGGGGGAATGAGGGGCTTGGTTGGCCCGAAGCGGAATCGAACTAACACCATGCTCGTAATGACGGACATCACTACCACTGTGCTGTCAGCCTCTTCAAAAAGGCTTGTATGGGTGAATACATATGTAATTCGGAGTGACTAATTCATAGAGCCTGCACTCTTCAATGTTTCATGTACACAACTTGTTTTAGAAGCAGGTTTCAGGTCTTATTAGCAATAACCTCCCGCTGTGTATTCAGATTTGTCCTCAAAAATAGTTTTAAATATACTTCTTCCGATTTATGTAGGAGGAGGATCTTCGATTACCCCTATCCACGAATATTTCTACTTGATTGTAGCGTTCGAGACGTGTAGATTTGATGAGCTTGAGGGAACGAATTCATGTCGTGTCATGTCGTCGACATAATAATAACAGCCTTTTTTTTATCTTTATGTTTTCTATGTTTTAAAAGTGTTTTCCTATTTTTCTGTAGCTGTTAATCAAATGGGCTCTTTTCAAGGTTAAGTGCACAGCTAAGGCGAAATTCGTTTACAAATTATCGACATGAGTATGCTTCCTTTCACCCAAGCACTTATCAGAATGTGTTGGAGTGATAGGAGATTATACTATAGCTGTTATGTGTTTCGTGACTCTGTTGAGTCCCATCATACTGTGGCTATGGTTTTTTTGCAGGTATCATCAAAAGACATGTGACTTGGATATGGTTGAAGAGGACCACTCCCGCTGTATGGCAAGCAAGCGTGAAAATATAGCAGCTAAGGATCAACTTGCTCGGCTACTTTTCCATGAGGAATAGGGTTCGTGCCAGTTTGTTCTGACTTTTGCATGTTTGTAGTAGGCATAAGCTCTTCTTTGCTTCATCATTGTGCCAAACACAGCGGCGACAGTACGCGAATTTAACCATCATACATTTTTTATTTAGAGTCGCTTACTCCGCTTTTTTTTATCGTTCATGGCTCGTCCAATGAATCATAGATGTTCATTCTCGGATATTTTCTATGAAGGCGGGTTGCCAAATTTTTTAAACTTTGGCTATGGTGTGTACCTTGTCAATATGCGTCTGTTCTGGGTTTGGACAGCTGTTTCTGTTGTCTTCATTTATGAGTGCTTACCAAAGGTTCTCCTACCAGTGTTTGAAAATCTGTCTTCATCTCTGAAAACATTTATTTCATATAATTATGACACGTATAGAGATTCGTTAAAAAAATAGTCCGCCTTTCGTATTATTTGTTTTTTCACTATCACTTATTTTTTCAAAATTCTTGTTCTAGAGTACTATGTCATCGTTCAACTGGCCCTAAATAGACGGGATGATTTATCCACTTTATTTTTCTGCGACCTTTGTTTTTTTCCTTGCTTTATAGGTAAAAACCACTTTTCGTCCATGTGCATGGTGCATTTTTCTATAGTCCTGTTTTCATCCAGTTCTCATTCTTCATATTGATTTATGTACTTGCCCAATATTTACAAAATCACTTATTTGGTGCCTGTTAATGTCAATCGAGCTTTTGTCTACATCTATTGTTTTCGTGCCGTGCTTTCTCGTGTTTGAATATTGATGGTCCACTGTGATGGCATATTATTAGAGTGTACAGATATCTCATTAGAGTAAAGAGCTTCTCATGGTATTCCGACAAAACCACTATTTTTTTCACACAGGTGGTACACATCAATTAAGCAATAAATCTGGTTGAAAAGTCCTATAAGAATTTAATTACTAAAGTTCCAATTAGTAATTCGAAGTAGCAAGCAATTAAGTGGTCCTCTCTATATAACGAAAAAAGTGGTAAAATAAAGCGTTAACATTCCTAAGTGGTAATGGTTATGAGGCATTTTCACCATGCTCTCTCAGACGCCACATCGAAAAGAGGACATCTGTGGACTATTGACGAGGATCGTCGGCTCTCATGAAGACGAAGAGGTCGAAACAGTCGAATGAACATCTCATGTAACCTCAACAATACAAACAAATGTTGATTATTATGGTGCCGAGGTTAAATAACGGTCGGTTTCAAAATAGAATGGCATGTTTCGTGTTTTGGTCGCTCACGTATATCGGAGTTTCGGATCCCTTCTTGTTTACGTAGCGACCAAGTTTGTAACGCATACGGTAAGGCGTGGAGCCGAAGAGGTACCTATGGGTTTTCCCCGTTTTCTCTACCACATCCTCGATGCTCTTGAAAACTCCCCAGCCGATTGTTTCCCCTGCTCAACTCTGGACCTAAGCCACTCATCATGTTGATTTTCCAACCTCGCTAGACGTGGCTGAAGCATTTGGAGATATTCATTCTGTTGGATGTGAATGCGGCATACAAAACAAGTCGCTCTTCATAAGCACACTTTTTTGTAAGATATAGCCGAAGACTAGCCTTTCCACAGGCTTTATTAAAGCGGGCAAGCATTCATTCCGCTTGGCTAATGCTTGGAGTTATAATAGCGAGGTAAGAGCGAAGATAGTGTAATTGCTGGTCATCGATTCGAATGATGTTCTCGAGGGTGGCTGTATATAATTTTGGTGAAATGGTATATCCTTGCCCAAACCGTACTTTAAAGTCGTTGTAGAATGATGATATTTTAATATGTATCTTTCTACTTCTGTTCAGCAAACACGAGGTGCTATTTTATTCCTTTATTTACGCACAAGCTGACGTTTCGGCGGATTTCGCCTTCCTCAGAGTCTGGAAGGGTCAAGTTGACAGCAATCGATTCGGCCAAACACCTCCATAACCAAACAGAGAAAACGCTAAACCAAGATTTCAATCAGATTTAGCATAGCTCTGCACACTCACCGCTTTCTATGAGTCTTCCACTGAGTATGTCGCGTGAAGACCGACCGCACAGAATTCACATGGAAGCGTAATGTGCCCCTCCCATCAGAATAACAGGTTTATATACTGTCCAATATCACGCGTGATAACGAGGCATTCCTCCCTGCGGTTCATTTTCGGATTCTTGGAATTAATCCAGAATGCCTCTAGAGTTTTGCGCGCTTGTGTTCTCGATTCTTGCGCGAGGATCGTAACCCTTACTTCAAAATCTTCTCCGTTATGTTAATGCGTGCTATGCGTACCTAGTGGAGTACTTGGCTTACGTTTGCCGACTAGGTGTTCTTTTATACGTACGGCACGCTTTACAAGAGATCAGACAGACTGTACCCGAACTCATGCAGTCACCGTCCCTGCCGTAAGGGCAAATTACGCAATTTGTTGTTTCACATAGACGGTCATACCGGCGGTTACGAAACAACGATAATCGAAATACCACCGAATAATCTAAGGCGCCTGCTAGTTCGTAACCGCCTATACGACCGTCTATGTGCAACGAAAAATTCCATAATATGCCCCAATGGTAGGGACGGTGACTGCATGAATTCGGGTACAGTCTGTCTGATCTGTTGTAAAGCGTGCCGTACGTATAAAAGAACACCTAGTCGGCAAACGTAAGCCAAGTACTCCACTAGGTACGCATAGCACGCATTAACATAACGGAGAAGATTTTGAAGTAAGGGTTACGATCCTCGCGCAAGAATCGAGAACACAAGCGCGCAAAACTCTAGAGGCATTCTGGATTAATTCCAAGAATCCGAAAATGAACCGCAGGGAGGAATGCCTCGTTATCACGCGTGATATTGGACAGTATATAAACCTG